GGTTAGTGTTTGCAATGCAACTTGCTTCCTTGAAAATTATTTTAACTGGTTTCTCTTTTAACTGACCTAAACAACCTTGCACAATTACACCATCACTTCTCCTGTCTTTATGACTTCCTGAATTATAGAAGCCAACGACTTTATTTTGCAGATGCTGACATGCTCCAAAATCAATTTAGTTCTTATAGTGTATCATTTCCAAAATTGTGGTCTTCCTTCATATCTGCCAGATAATGGACTTATTCTAAACTCAACGATGATTTGAGCCCTCAATATTACAGGTGGTATTGTATGACCGGTGCCCCAAAGGAGACTCCCAAGGGCTCCGCTCTCATGCAAGAACAAAGGGGTCTTTATTGGTCCGTGCGCACGGGGTCCTCCGTACAAGCGGGAACAGAGGGCCCCGGGTGTAGGTGAGGCAGGTGCTTTTAAGGGAAAAAATCGCAAAGCAAGCATTTTTTTTTTTTTTTAAATAGAAGCCAATCACAGCAGTTAGAGCGGGATAGTCAGCAGTTTACTTATTTGTGGTTGCTCAGCTCATAAGGGATGACCAGCGGGTCAGAGTTAATTAACTGTCTTGTTCTGCACAACTTATCTTTAGGACACCTGGTTCCTGTAAGGCTCGAGTTTGACATGTTTTTACAACCCTGATTAGCGTAATGGCAGGCTCTATCTCTGAGTTCCCTGGCACAGCACAGCCTGAGAATATCACAGCTGCAGATATTTTCTTTTTGATCTTCCTGCAGGGCTGAGTTAGGACTGAGTCACGAGGCCCAGTGCTGTTTCTAGCTGAGAAACAGCATCTTGTTTTTAACCTTTAAATTTCTGGTCCTTCAGTATTGTGAGGAGAGGTTTGGAATCTATCAGTGGACAAGAGACAAAAATCCTTGTCATGAAGGCTGCATTGGAATGGGGTGGGGTAAGAAGCAGCAGCAAGTAGATGTAAGAAGAGATGACTGTTCTGTGTGAAGAGCAGGAAAGGGGACTGGGTAATGTACTCAGAGACTACACTGGCTGAAGTGGAAACTGATCACAAACTTGGAGGCATTCAAGTTCATGGCATTCAAGTTCCCTGTTTGAGGGAGGGCTTTTCAGATGGAAAAGCAGGTGCAAGGTCCTAAGACAGGAGCATCCCTGGCATCTGAGGAACAGCAAGGACAGAGAGGCTGCAGCACAGCAGGAACACACAGGTGAAGGGGTCAGGAAGCCCTGGCAGGCTTCTTACTCCAAGGAGGACAAAGGAAGCCACGGGAGAGTTTTGAGCCAAGGAATGGCACGATCTAACTACATTTTGGAAGAATTATTTTCATCAGTCTGTTGAGAATGGATCTTGGCGCCCGAGGAAATGGAGATCAGTTGCAAAACTACTGCAGCATTTCAGGCGGGGATCCTGACAGCAGTGAAGCAAGGTGGCCTCCGTGGAGGTAATGAGAACTGGGCAGACTCTAGATGCATTTTAATGGAAGAATCTTAGTTTTGGTGAATTAGATGAGTTGTTAGAAAAATCAAGAAGTCAGCATGAATTCAGTTTTTGGTGTAAATAATTGGAAGGATTTGTTGCCTTCAACTGAGACAGGTCAAAGAGAAGAGGAGCAGCACGGGGGAAGCAGTTTTGTTTGGGACATACTAAGTCTGAAACAAGTAATAATGAGCAGGCGAAGTGGCCCCCATAGGCTGAGAGCAGTTCAGGAAAGTGTGAAATGATGAAAACGTTGAGAATACTGCATGAATCTCAACTGAAATTGGGTGGGAACGTGTCAGCACACACACATCCCTTTGTGACAGGGGATGCGGTGAGACTACTAAGGGATCACTCCCATAAAATGGACCAAGAGTACAGCTCTGGAGCCCTAAAGTGTTAAATTAGGGAGGAGAAATACCCAGTACAATAAGAAAAACAACTCCCCAGAGGCGTGTTAAGGGGTCACACTGTGTCCAGCGCTGCTGATGTGCAGATGGAGGCTGAGAAGGGCCGCTGGGCTTAGCGAGGCAGGAAGCGAGCTCGCTGAAGATTTTCACAAGGGTAAGACTTGATGGAAGTGTTCCGGAGAATGTGCAAAAACCAACTGCAGACAGCAGGTATAGAGCTTCAAGGACCAGCACTATAGAGAGCACAGATGAGAGTGCAAGCGGACAGGGCAAGAGAAAAATAGGTTTGGCTGGCTTTTTTTTTTTTTGCAAGAAGTTTGTCTGATGCTAGGTACCGTGCAGGAGACGACTCTCCTTCCCTCAGTGTTCCTCACAGGCCCCACTGCATTTTTAAAGATACCCCAGTGAGATCTAGTCCTGCTGCTCAGTAGCTAAGTGAGCTTGTACAGCTGGCTACTGGTGAAAAGCCCCTTACATCTATAGCTAAAAGACACATGAACAGCCACTGTGGTACAACAGGGGACTCAATGAGCCTTTACTAAGCATGGATTTCAGTAGGATCTGGCCTCCCTGCCTGGTTCCATCAGATCTCGAATGGTTGAGAGTTTAACAAAATTGACAGGTGTCAGGTTTTCTGATTGGAATGAGACAAATCTATCTACCTTCCTCTCTTTTTGCACTGAGTACCCCACCATTTTCCCCCCCTATAATTGATTCTATGCTCAGAAATTCTTCCATCAGTTGGTTATATACTGGGTATAGTTTTTGGTGAAAGAAAAGCTTTTTTCGTATTTTTTCCTCCAGGTACCTTACTGGGAAACTAGAATAGAGTAAATCAGCAGATGCTATTGCTAAGTAAGTTATACTTTAAAGTTAAGGCAGCATATAACACACTAAGTAAGTCAAAGTGCTTAATTTTTGTTTTCTATGAAATCGTTTATTATTTACTATGCAGAAGGTACAGATACAGTTCTGACATGAACACACAGGACTTTGCAACACTGGTAAAAAGCGGTTATGAAGAACCGAGAAGCTGGGAAATAGGGCACAACATTTCGCAACATAGATCTCCAAGTATCAAAGGCACTTAGCAACAAAGCTTAAATTAAGGAGTGTGAAATGTTATATACTGATGCACGCAAGACATAAAGTTAAGTGCATAAGTTTTCTTATAGTTTGACTTCTAGCATTTTATTGGCTAAAAGCTCTTTACTGTGCAGCCTTACATAATCAGCAATGAATTTCATTACCTCCTCCACTGAAAGAGCCTGAGTATTACACTACCACGCTTCTCCACGCAGTTGCTGTAGGAACGCCTCTAGGCAGAGACCAAACACCCCACAGTTAGGGCCACTGCACTGCCACTCTGGTGAACACTGTGGAAGTCAGCGTCACTCACGCACCAGCACACCGGTCTCTGTGACTCCAGGACACACACAGAGAACAAGCTCACCTGTCTGCTCCATGCACAGCGCTGTGCGGGCTGCAGTCTTTACTTTCACCAGCTTAAACTTATGCATTGTAACTGGGTTGTCGCCTTTCCAATTCCTACTAGCCTGCTCTAAGCAGCTTCGTGGGATAATCACCAGATTAAAGTGTGTTCTCGCTCAGCATTTACTTGATTCCCAGGGAGAAAATTAGTGGGACTAGCATCAAACTTTCAGAGGCTCAGCCAGCAGTGGTGCTGCAGGCCTTTTATCCCAGCAACGTGGGAGGCTGAGGCAGGAGGACGGCTTTAGCCATGGAGTTCAAGGCCATTTGAGAAGCACAGCCAAGACATGTGCACGCTTGCGCACAGACACCAAGGGCCAAACCCAGTATCCATGTAAAGGATCCATGTTGTCTACAACAGCAAAAAAGCAATAATGAAGGGACCAAGACATATAGCACCTTGAGCTCCTTATGAGCCGTGGTCTTTCTGCTGCTCTGTGGCAACTTCCCGTACACTGCATTCTAAACACGTGTATTTAGATCGATTCATGACCTTACTGCCCACTCACAGCAAAATGAATGCACTCCAATCACATTCCTATGTGAAAACCAAGTTAGATTACTAGAACAGTCCTTGGCTTAGTAATATTTGGGCTTAACATAATTAAAGACATCTAATGGCTTTCATTCTCATTGGGGATAAACAATGTCTTGCATATTTCTAATCACAGTAGGTATGCAAATGTAGATTCGGTGTCATGGTGGGCTGACAGGATATTAAACATGTCTAAGAGTGCACTGGCAGTGAGAGACTTCAGTTTGCTTTTATCCGTTCCCCTTCAGCTTCTACCAGCATTTACAGGGTGTTCTCACATGCTACACATAACTGAAAGATGCCAACTTTTGCTATAAAAGGTCAATACTATAAGTTTCTAATGCAGAATATGGAAACGCACAGAAAGACTACAACAGGCAATCTATCAGGGAGTTAACACAAGGTATTTCTGTGTCTGGTGTATATTAATTATCCTCTCTCCAGTTTAAATAATGTTTCATCTTCAATACTGAACTTTCTTTTAATCAATAAATCTCCCACTTTATAAAACCCTAAGACAATCCAGTGAGCTTTATCAAACAGAGAAGCCAAAGCGCACAGATACTACTGTGTTACAATCAGAAAGAACCAGTTCTTCAGCAAAACAGAGCTGCTGTAAGCCACCTGGCTTCTGTAGTTTAGTATCAACTATTTGGGTACGTTTCAGGCAAAAAGATAGGAACCTGACTTCACTGTTACCAGTTAATATTTGCAAAACTACTTGAATTTTTCTGTTGATCTTCATTGTTCTGAAAGAATGATAGTTTTGATGGTGTCAAACTTCATTTTTTTTTCATGTGCAAGATGACTGGAGCTGAATGAGAAAAAGAATGATTAAAGGAGGAAATGAAGGTAGCCTGGCTCGGTGGGAACAAGTGTTTCTCTTCTACGCGGATCGTAAGAAGGGTCATGTGTCCAATGCTACCACAGTAAGATCATAAACCTGCCAGGCATTTTAAAGGTCTCAAGATTAAGACCAAGAAAGATAAGACGATAAAATGAACCAAGTCACCACTATTAGAAAGTTCTAATAATTTTTACATCCACCACTGGTATTCTTAGCAAAAACACATTTAAATACAAACACAATTATATAGATACAATATTATCATATAAATATTTCCTTTATTTTCATGATTACAAATTTAAAAATAATTTCATAATTTTTAATAGCTGTTTCATCAAAAGTGGCATAGTTTATTAAAAGAAACTGGAAATGTGGAATCTTTTAAAGAAATAATCTTCATTTTCATGAACAGGTATGGTAGAGGAGCCAGGTTTCTACACCAATTAACAGAAGATGAATCACTTATAGGTCTAGTTCCAATACAGATAAAGGATACACATATGTATGTTAGGCCCGATTCTGCCCATTCCATCAAAACAGTTCTGTTTCCGAACTATTAGCTACTGAAATGCTAAAAACGCTCCCTCTTTCCCAGTCACCCTGGAAGGGTTTATTAGCAGTTCACAGCTGTTCACTTAGCTGACACTGCAGAGAGGAGAGCAAACAGAACTTTGTAATATGTAAGACCATTACCTTTTCAAATGCTCTAAGTGAACTATAAAACTCAACCTTCATAATTAGGACTTTATAACTTGTATCTTGAGTGTCTGTTTTCCTTTAAATTTCTAAAAAGAACATTATTTCTTAGTACTAATACTGTAGAATTAAACACACAGACAGAAGCATTTAGGTTCTATGTTTTATAAATTTTAAATTAAAATGACCAAAGAAATAAAATTTGTTACACGGGATCAGTGTTTTCCCTTTTTATATACTGCTTCTTTCCATTAACACTATTTCTGATCTAAGGTGTCCAAGTACACAAGTTGCTACAGACTCTCCAATTTTATGGTAATGGTTCCTCCTTACACACATCAGTATGCATTTAATTTTGACTTGTCTGAACAAGGCTGATGTGTGTTCCATGATTACAAAACCAGGCAAGGATTAATGGCAACCGCTTAGCCTTTGGCTACTGGCTGGCTGAGTAGTCTGCATTCAGGTAACCAATACTTCTGACTCTGTCCCACGTTACTGTCGGGTGTTTGGACACTTGATTGGGCAACATCCATCTCCCCAAGGATGATGGGGACAGAAAATTCAAAACAGATGACTTTTCTAGCTTTAGTGCTTCTGGTAAAAGAGTTACAGTTAAAGAGAAAAACTATTAATAAAAATCGAATAAAGTTACCAGTGGACTTCACTTACATGAGGACTGGTCCCTCCTTATTGGAGTTTAACTGACAACAGACTCAACCGTGACCGGCAGCTCGTGTTAGTCATTTTTAGATACTCTAATGACACTTGCCAGCAGGTTTATTAACTTCAGTTTTATGGTGTCATGCTGTTTCTCACACTGCTTAAGTGTCCTGTTTCTATAGTCTGAATACCAGAAAATTAGTTCACTTTCCCTTATACAGTCAAAAATAGGTTTATTGGAATGTTTTTAGTTATAGTAGAAAGCAGAAACATTTAGCTTTTGTTACACCCACAAACATGGAAATTGTTTACAAAGCAATCGTATTATAAAAAGAATGACACCCTTGCAAACACTGGTACAGTGGTATGGATCGCCTTTAGCATAATGGCTTGGTTCTCTACATAGGCCATCGGTCATGTAGGCCCTAGCCCGACCTGCATCTTGATGCAATGATGCAAGACCTTCTGCCACTAAAATATGAGTATGAAATATTGTCACTCAGCATTGACTATATACACAAATAATGAACTGGCAAGTATCTGGTTTCAAATTAGATCCTTGGAATACAGCTAAATAGTTATCTTTGCTTTATACAATTACTCAAAGTACATTTTGTTGCAAGGGAAGAAGACATTCTCAATGCTCCAATTTGAAGTGATACTTGCCTCTTAGTTTCTTGAAAAAGAAGTTTGAAAGTTATATACATAGGTTTCGTTTAAATTATGCAGCAGTCTTTTATCATTAATGTCCCAGATCTTGTATAATGAGGAGCTCCATCAGATCAAGTACGATATTTCACAACTATGAGAACTGTAAGGGAAATAGAAAAAATACATCAAAATCAAAAAAGGGTATCAAAATATATTCACATGCTCTTAGAAGCAATATTCTTAATTGTAACTGTAACGTATTCACTTTTAGCAAGGGGTTACTGCTGGGTGTGGTGCACTCCTGTAATCCCAGCACTCAGGAGGCTGAGGCAGGAGGATAGCTGCAAATTCAAGGCCAGCCTGGGCTACACAGTGAGTTCAAGACTAACCTGAACTACATAGCAAGACTGTCTCAAACAAAAAAACAAAACAACACACACAACACAGAGAAAAGAAAAAGGAAAATGAACCACTTCCTGGGAAAATAAAGGGTAAGTTCCTGTGAGCCTTTGGTTTACACTTTTGTTCAGCAATTTAACATATAATGTTGTTTTATGTATGTTTTGGTATAAGCATATCTTATTTAATGCATGCTATTCCTTCAATAATATTGAATGTAGGGCCAGAAACACAATAACCCATGCCTGAACCAAGTTTACCTAGCATGTTTTTATTAAGGAACTTTATAGTCTCCTCACCCTTGATAACACCAGACAGCACTTCAGGACCAGGGTTGGTGGCCATTTTAAACCATGAAATCAACACAGACAGCACAAAAATGTGAAAAATGTGGCACTACAAGGATTTCGAGAAGAAACAGGAAGGCAGAGACTGCCTTATTTAAACCTCAGCTGAAAGCCTGCTGGTCAGGAGATTCAAAATTCTTGCTCTTCTCAACATGTCTGCATTTGACTAGAAAAGCAACAGGAACATCGAGTTGGGGTTTAGAAATATGTGAATTCATAAATGCAGAATCCACAAATAACGAGACATGGCTGTATTTCTTTGCAGCAAAACTTTTTGTTTAAACAGATTGGATTCATACAATTTTTGAAATGATTATTTTGAGGCACTATTCAGATGTTTATAAAATCTCTACAGACACAAGTAAAAAGGCCTTATGGCAAGGTAGCTATTAACAATGGTTTGACCACAAAACAATATTAAAGAAAAAGAAGAGGAAGAAATCATGCTTTAATAACTAAAATCAAGTTCAAATTCAAAACAAATCAAAATCAGGAAACAATCTGGAAAATGCAACACACTTGTTCTTTCCAGCACAATTATTACTGCACAAATTGCTATACTTAAAAGTGAACAGTAAGGGCTGGGGATTTAGCTCAGCGGCATAAGAACCTGTCTTGCAAGCAGGTGGTCGTGAGTTCAATCCCTGGTACCGATAAAAAAAAAAGTGAACAGTAAACAGAAAAGAACAAATCTTCCTAAGCATAAGGAAAATCAGATTTGGCCTTAAACATATCAGCCCTGCATTCAAGAGTGTGGGTAATGTCCAGGACACAGGTTCCTCTTGAGACTCTGACAAACGAAACAGACTTTGTTCCCACAGAAATGTACAGGTGCATGTTTATGTAAAAATTAGCATGCATTTTTAGAGATCCAAAAATTCTAGGTTAAGACTCCTGACTCAGATCAGATGTCATTATTCAATCGTGACATTAGACATCTTGGTCAACTGAAAGGAAATCAAAAGGAAATGAAAGTCAACTCCAAACAAAAATAATCCGCAGAAATAATAACCCAGTAAATACTTACTGACAATCACTAGCAAGAGGATTGCAGCAACCAAAGCCATGATGGCTTTTATCTGCAATACAGAAAAAGGCCCGTGAGTATAAAATAGATAACTAAGTTATCTATTACTGAGTTTTTTTGGATCATTGAACAAAACTATCTGCCTCTCACTGTTTGAAAGTCCACTTTATATGCTTTAATTTTGTAACTTGGACAACTAGTTCTAAGATGAGAATACATAATCTATTAACTAGTGATTTCTTACTGTTTATTTTTTAAATTTTGTATTACTTGTACCCTTTTTCTGTTTTTTTCTTTTTCTCCTTAAATAAAAAAAAAAGAAAGAAAGAAAGAAAAAGGCCCATGAAGTTTACGGTCTGACTCGTTAATGAAGCCAGGACTTCCCGGCCTGTCGCTTACCATGTCACAGTGACTTATCAGTATCAGGCACATTCTTTGAAAGTTTCTCATATGAACTCACTGGCAGTTCTCCCAAAAACAGTCTGAAGCCCTTATGGACCTGGACTTTTTTTGTCTACTATTTCACATGCTTACTTCTCTGTGAGGGAGAAAAGTACAGTGTATGAAATTTTACCAATTGTGTTCAAGTGTCAGGATATGAAGATTAACACAGGCAGCCAATCCAATGGCTTATTTTAATATACAGTGGGCCTCCCTTATCTGAGGATGGCAGGTTCCTTGCGGATGTGGCCCCAGTGGATGCTTGAAACCCTAGACAGTACCAAACGCTATGCATATTGTGTTTTTCTTCTGCATACGTACTGATGATAAAATTTAATTCTTAAATGAGGCACAGTAAGAGATTAACAACTAATAACACAGCTGTAGCAATAAACTGCAATAAAAATTAAGTGAATTTGGTCTGTCTTGAAAAAGTCAAGGGCCACTTGACTTTTCGGGGCCACTATGATGGTCTTGGGTAATGGAACCTGCAAAGCCAAGCTATGAGGGGTGGGCCTGGGGCTACTGTACACAGGCAGCATGTTTTATAGTTCTTACTCTCAAAGCACATGAGAGTAATTGTTAGTTTTTCCTTCCCTTTCTCTATGGTATTTAAACCTCCTTTTCAAGGAATATATTTTAGTTTCTCCATGCATAATCTCATTTAGTGCTGAAGACTATTCTCCATGTCAGTTTCACAGGTAAGGTGAGAAACATTAAGATCAATTTCAGCTAGGTATTTTAAGTTCATGTTATCCTCCCACATAAAACTGTTACATTAATCAGTTAATCCTAAAATGTATAAATTATAAATTTATTTCATTTCATTAATTTAAATCTTTTTCATCATTTTCAGCAAATTGATTAAAAATGGTTCATTCAGAAAAAAAGGTACAAATTATAAACAGACAAAACATTCTAAAGAGTATCACAAATAAAGGTAGGTAGTATTTCTAAAAACAGAATAACTGATGACACTTTTGTAGGATTATATATTCATGACAATAAAAGTAACCCAGAGAATATATGAAAATTTTGTAATATGGACATCAGCACCTATTAAAATTATTAGTTACAACCAAAAAATGTAGAAAAACTCAAAATGTAGAGAAACAGGACCTGTATTTTCAGCAGGTATCTGGGCCCACATTATAAATCACCTTAATATGAAAACATTTCTAAAGAAATGTGGAATTTTATACTAGTTTTTCCATTCTGAAAATCAATTTGCCCAACTTAAATGGAAATATCATCAAGTTTAACACACCTCAATGAGTAGTTTTCTTTGGGTTTTTAACACTGGACAGGAAATATTTACAATCCCAAAGGGCAATATTTCACTGTTCTTTCAAATGACATGGACAAAATTCATCTACCATTAAACATGAAGAGCCTCCCAGCCTCCCAGATACCTAAGAGGTATCTGCAATTCTCCTTCCCTACTCACTGGAAGAAACGTATTTATTATATTCACTTCCTTGCTTTCAAAGTCAGGTTTACTGAGATATTCTTTACAAAGAAAAAAATTCATCCTTTTGGAAGTTCCTTTTGATGAGTGTTGAGAAACATACACAGTTGTTCACCACCATCACAGCCGCTGATCCCCAAGTTCCCTCATGTCCAGGGGTAATCAGTATCTACCCTCCTCCTCTTTAGCCACTGGCAATTCCCGATCTGTGTTCTGTTTTGCTATCTTTCCTCACAAAATTTCCTAAGTCACTGCTATAAAGTTAACCTGGCAAATGGAACGTGAGAAGACAGCCCCAGATAAAGAGCAGAACAGAGAGCACGGGATACAGTGCGGCAGAAGAGAGACACACACTAGAAAAAAACCAGTGGGAAATCCCTGCTGCGCTCAGTGAGCTTTGTTATGTTACAGAGCAGTGCTCATGACATGGCTGAGGCGATCAGTGGTTACCAAAGGTCAAACAGACTGTCTCGAAACAATCCAGTTTTTTAAACTCTAAAAAGAAGGCTATTCATTTGATTTGAATCATCATAAATTACACAACAAAAATCTTTAGTTATGGCTGAAAAACATTTGAGATCCATAGTTTGACTATCCTGTTGTGTCACTCTGCACACAGGCATGTGTGTTGAGGGGAGAGGAGGTGAGTGGCTCAAAACCTTCTGTTTTTCTAGAGAACAGAGAATTCTGCTAGAAGTAAAAATGATTACAGAAAGGGGAACATTTATTCTTTTTGGGGGGTTACTGGGAATCCCAACTCAGGACCTTGTGCTTGCCAGACAGGTGCTGAAAATTTATTCTTTAAAGAATAAAGAATTTGGCGCTGGGGAATTTAGCTCAGCGGCATAAGCGTCTGCCTTTTAAGCAGGCGGTCGTGAGTTCGATCCCTGGTACCGATAAAAAGGTTTAAAAAAAAAAAAAGAAGAAAGAATTTACAATAGAAAACCTAAGTTCTAGACAAGGGGAGCAATGAAGTATGCTTCTCTCTTTCTTCAGTTCTATCTTTTGAAATCAGAGCATTTAGCAGGCAGACAAAACTAAGTAAATCCAAGGCACCGCTTGGAAGACATTCTTAGCATGTGGCAAAGTCAGGTTTAGAAAATTATTGCTGGACTTGAAAATGAGAGGCTAAAAGCAATGAGCTCATGTCTATATTTTTATCAAAGCTAGAATCAAGAAAAAAATAACTGTTTACATGACATGAAAGTCACTAAAAAAATCTTATAAGGAAATATTTCCTGTTTAATGATTAGTAGCCCCATTTACATATGTAATTTTTTTCTCCCTTTTCTTTTTGGAAGTCTTGAAGATTGAACACAGGGCCTTTGCACTGAGCTATATGCCCAACTCTTTTTTACATTTTATTTTGAGTCAAGACCCTGCTAAGTCACTAAGTTGCCTGAACTGGGCTCAGCTTACAGTCCTCCTGCCTCAGCCTCTTGGTGTTGGGACTGCGGTTGTGTGCTGCCATGCCTGGCCAGCTGCACTTTAACAAGTAAATTCATTGCATAAAATTTTCTGCAGAAACACGTTAGTGTCCTTGTTAAAAACTTCTCATCTCTCTGGAATAGTGAGGAGTAACGCATTTCCCCCCTTGGTCCCACCTGGAATGAGACTCTGACCTTACACTGCTTTATTTTTCCCTCTCACCATGAAAACATATTTTTCTTTAGCTCCTCTATCATTTAAAAATATCTCTATATAATGGTATAGGATGCTTCAAAAGTACTGAAATAAATTATAAAAATGTGTATTTGTTGTAATAGGTCCGGGGCAAATAAGTTATTTATAAAATGTGAATTATTTTTTATGAAGAAATCTACAGAAGTAAGTTTTTAGGCATGTCTTGATTCTTCTAATTGCTGTTTTGCTTTGAAATCATGTTCCAGGTTCAGCAGATACAGTAAGTAAGACAGTCCTCTCAAGGCTTACATTCTCCGGGCCTTTGTTGCTTCATGTCTATGAACACAACCCGAGACGCTAACTGATCTGCCCATTATCTTCTGATTTACTTACTTTGCATCCGCGCCACCACATTTGCCTTCGAAGTTGTTTGGATCTATTGCTAAAAGCAGTTGCATTATCCGATAAGCTTTCTATATCACATAGAGGATGGAGAGAAGGATTAAACGACATAACAGGATTCTTTTATCTAGTCACACAAAGACAAGAAAATATTAATTTCTACTTCTGCAAATTTGTTGCCTTTTAAACATGAACACAACATTATCCTTCTCTATCCATAAATTCTGCCACTTTATGTTGTGAAAAAGAAAAAATAAAAAGCAAAACATAGCAGCAGGACAGTTTGGTCAACCTACTTTTACTATAAGATTAGAAGAACCGCTCCAGGGCCTCAATGCTTAAATAATTCTGGTAAGAAAACAGTCCTAAAAATAGGAACAAAAATGGAAATGGAGATAGAGCTTTTGCAAGAGATAGAGGGAGAAAAGAGAAGGACATACAAAGAATTAAGATGATGTAGCAATACCCCATGATTAATGTAATCATTATATACTGCAAACATGTATTAATAAAAATTGTAGAAAGACATAAAAAAAAATACAAACAGTAGGGACTGGGAGAACAGCTCAGCGGTGGAGTGCTCTGCATGTTTAAGGCCCTGGTACAATTCCCAGCACCAGAAAAAAAATCAATGAACAATCAAACTTAGAACACCTCTAGAAAAAAATTATATGTGGAGAAGATAAGATTTTTAGAAACCAAAAGCAACTGAGGTTTTGGGAAAAAAATTGCATGAGTTCTAAAAGTTTCTAAGTAAGTTTTTTGGTCAAGCAAGTCTGTCAAGAATGAATCAGGTATTCAGCCATTCACCAAACAACAGAAGCGACCAGCATGTGCCTGCAAGTTTACAGGCACCAAGACTAGTATCTGTCAGGAAAGCAAAGTGAGGAAGCCTAGATGACCACAGTCAGCCTTGCTTCAGTCACACCACACTGAGTGCCTACACTGTGACAGGAATTGTTACAGGCAGACACTAACATCTGCCACTAGAGAAAGGTTACTCTGTTACTAGAGAACACAAATTAAAAACATCAGCTAAATTTGAAACAAATTTTTAAAACAATAGTTCGACCTTTTGCCTTAAGATGGTCAGAAACACAAAGCATATCAATACAAGAGGGCAAAAAGAAAAAACATCTCTAAATTCTTCAACAATGAATTTTAAAATTCTCCATTGTCACCTGAGAAATAACAAATGTAACAATAGTATGGTTCAAAGTAAGAGCTAAAGTTAAACCAAAAAAAGCATAATCTTAATCAACTGCTAATTTCCTAAGCTAAGATTCCTAAAGATTGGCTACAGAAATGGGAGAAGATACAAATTAGCAAAACACAGGCTGATAGCAAGAAACAGGTGAAGGAGCCGTACCTGATTTGTCCTGTAGTTCATCTAGTCTCTCCCCTCTTTCAATTACCTTTGTGATATTTTCTTGCATGACATCAATAACTTCATCCACCTGATTCTGAACACTAGTATAAAAAAGATAAAAGTAATTTACAATTTTTGAAAATTTTTATTAGTCATGATAGAGAACATGAGATGCTCAGAGTAGTTGTTTATTTTTAAACTATAAAATGTAAATAAGCAATGCTCTTCCAGTTGTGGGCTTGAGTGCTCTGGTAATTAAAGACAATGTGAGTCAGGTGTGGTGGTGCATACCTGTAGTTACAGCTACTTGAAAGCAAAGACAGGAAAAAGTCAAAATCAGAGGCCAGCCTGGGTAATCTGGCAAGACCCTGTCCCAGGGGGGATGTAGCTCAGCGGCAGAGCACTTGCATAGCATGTATGAGGCCCTGGGTTCAATCCCCAGTTCTACAATATTAGAAATACAACACAATATTAAGTTAACATTTAACTGAAATACAGTTTTAGTCCTGCACCTAATAATGTAATACATAACAGCAAATTAAATTTACTGTTAACATGCTTAATAACTGCAGAATTTAGTCAGGCAGCTTGACTCTAAATGTTTCATTATTTGTAGCGCGCACAGCGATAACCTACTTATGCTAACAAAAGTGTTTGCCTGGGTAGGTTAGAGGCTTATGGAAAATACCTACCGTCCAAAATGGAAATGTGAGGCACACCCTACAAGACACCAGTGTCCAATGGCTGCAACTCTTCATTGCTCATCAGTTTTTCCAAACCGTAAACAGAGTTGAAGACAACTGGGAACACTCAGGAATGTTTTGAAGTGCTCATCAGAAAGCAAAATTGAAAAATATTTTGTGATCCTTCAAAATGAAAATGTTTTCCTCCTTTGTCTTAGGTGGTGGGCCTGTTCTAAATAAATTTTCAGACTGTTCATTACACACCAAACTTAAACATTAATTACTGGTCTTCAACTACTATCACCCATGAATTATCTCAAGGGATATGCCTAACAATTTTGAGTGTCCAGTGTGTGATGCTATACCCAAAAGACAAAAGATTATTTTATGAAATAAGTCATGGCAGTTAAATATTTATATTTAAGAGGAGAAACAGAATGAACTTATGGATCTTATAACTCAAAAATGAAGTGCCATTAGAAAGTAAACAAATACTAAATATGTATGAATATTTAGATAAGTATGGGTATACAACTGCATTTCTTTTTGGGGAAGAAGTATATTTATTATCATCAGGGAAGCTTTTAAAAAATTTCACAATTTTTTTCTCTTTTATCTACCCCACACTATCCTCCAAACCACTCCAGAGAGTTAAGAGTTGAGGCATACTCATGCGTGGTTTTAAAAGTTTTATCCTTTTCCTATCACTGAACTACTTCAAAAAGTTTGTTTTAATAATAGCATGAGGTCCACTTATGGATTCAGAAGTCCTCTCATTCAAGTAGCAGTTACTATGCATGGTGATAATCACTTCCCTCTGTGCTCAGAGCATTACACGCATGTACCCTCTGCTTATCTGCAGAGCCTCAGGCTCAGTCACAGCTTCTGGAGTGCGGCTTTCCATGCCTCACTCCATTGAAAACATGTAAGACTGAAGCTCAACCAAGCAGGGACATGCACAGTTCTCTTCTCCTGAAACAGGTTATGAACCACCAAGCTACTTTGTTACAAATCCTGATTCTCTAAGCACAGAACTACAAGTGTTTGTTCTACATACTAACAATGGCATAAAAACTTATACAACTAATCAATTTATTCAACAAATAATGAATACCTGCTATATACTTTTAGGTACTAAGAAAACAACAAAACAGGCAATATAATTCCATATCGTATGGAACTTATATTTAAAGGTACAATGAAAGATTTATGTTAACTAACTTTAAAGTTTTGAAACAGCCTGTTTGACTATATTACTGTATTTTACTTTCAGCATTTAACCCCAAGGTAAAGCACTTCTCATTTAAATGCTTATTTTCTGCATCTCCTCCACTAGAAGTTAAACTCAACGGGTGAATATGAGGACCTTGCCTATTTTTTCCACCCACTGCTTCCAGTGGTGCTTAAGGTAGAATAGGTATTTAATACTTGCTAAATAAGTGAGCAAGTCTTCAGTGAAAATCCTACAAAACAAAGCCAGCCACTTGGGAAAGGGATATAAAGCAGTGATTATAGACCCCCTATGTAATTGTAAAACAGAAACAAACACACCATTTATCAAGTATGAATCTTGAAATCCCCAGGTAGTTATTTTTCACCTTATACGTAAGTGATAATAATAGCCTAAAGTGAGACATTGTGGCAGGATAGGGATGGACAAAATGTACTATTGCTTCTATATGTGATCAAATTTTAGTTACGGCTATTAATATACCTATATTACACAAAGTTTTAAAATAAAACCAAAAAACTGAAGAGATAGGTATGATTCCAGAATATCTGTAAGAAAAAAGGCTTCAAAAACATATGCTGATTAATTAGAACACAATCCATAAGATCCTAGATTCTTTCTAGATTTTCAGAAATCTAGAGGTATTACAACAGACTACACGTGCAATGAATCCCTACTGCTAATGGGAACCCTCCCAAATTTTATTTACTAAGTGATCAAAGAAGCACTGTTTTCTTTTTCACAAGTTACTATCCCTTGGCATTATTCTCAATCCAACTACTATGTAACCTTTATTCAGTCAGAGGAATATCTCACCACTGGGCTTTTATATTTCAATACCTTTCAGTACCCCGAACACAACTTTTTTTGTACTAGGAATTGAACTCACAACCTTGTGCTTGCCAGACAGGCACTGTGCCACTGAGCTACACCACCAGCCCTGGAGAACACAACTTCAACACAAGAAAAATTAAACATCTTATTTACTTTATTATGAAGGACATTTTTTATGAAATGAGATATTTCCCCTGATCTTTTACATTTTCCGAGTAATTAACAATCCTTTAATTGTAATTCTTTTATTGGGTTTGTATTTCACATGGGTCTTACTCCCATTATGCTGTAAATGCTGTGAAAGCAGACACTGTCCCACCCATTCTTTTATTTCTCAGCGAAATGTGCCTGAGATAAAGTAAGTATTCATCAAGTGCTTTCTAGTCTAAATATTTTATCTGTTTAAAAACATTAGAGCACCAAGCTGAAGGTTAGCAGCCTGATATTTAGACAGATTATAATGGGGGGGGTGGCTATCCACGAGCATGCTAGCGGGTGTCAGCTGCTGTAACGGAAAGAAACCCACGGGGTCAGTCATGTAGCCTAGATGAATTCAGCAGGCATCAGAGATGGCATCAAGATCTTGGAGCTGAGTCTTGAGGGGCAAAGAAGGAACTGGCAGAGTAAAGGAGGTGGTGTAGTGGGAAAGTTCTAGACCACTATGACATGTGTGTCACTGTATTTTTTTACTTTCAAGACAAAAGATGCTAAATACAGAGTCATTTTTCTAAACTAAAACCTCAGTAACCAGGTTTAAGTGCAGTGTTGGCAGTTTGCAATAAAAAGGGCTGGGGGTTGCTGCTTGGCAATTGGTTTCTGAAGGTTTGCCATCATTGTTCTAGACTAGGGGATATATACCTGTGTGGGGGGAGTGCAAGCACTAAGTGATTAAGTGGATGCTGGTAAAGGAACCAAGGACAGATATAAGACTCTCAAATTTATAATCTGAACAGCTGAGTGGTAGCAGATGGACAATGGCAATTAAAGCGGACAATGGAAAACTCCAAGGCATAGCAAGTTTGGACAGCAGAAGTGGACGTTTATATCATGGCCTTCAGGTCATGTAGGAGACAGAACACGACCAGGAAAAGGGAAAGATGCACAGAAGGAGATCGTTTTTAGCACTGCTTTCTATCCTGTTTCAGCTGACTCTGTGTTCCTAAACTGTCACCATTCCGACTACCACCAGGGAAGCTGCCCAGAGGGGTGCAGAGATCTTTGGTCCTGTGTTCAGACAGAACTGGGTTTGCAATCTGGTTGGTCATTTACTATGTATGTGGTTATGGAAACGATCCATATTTCCTCAGCTTTAAAACACAAATGATAATGTTTCACTTATGAGAATTAAATGTGATCATGTTTTCCCAACATTTAGCACAATGCCTAATGCTAGGCACATGCTTGATAAAAGTCAGTGACCTTCTATTAAAAAGAGCTTCATGCTCTGCATCATAAACATCCTCATCCCTGATTTTATAAAGAAAACATTTATTTTCATAGTTAACACCCCACCTTGTGGCCTTTTAAGGTACTGTTTACAAAAGAATTTTTATAGTTCTGTTACACTTTTGCAACTCATACATATTGCTGTTACATTGTGGAACATTCTCTGGGCGTTTATAAAAGTGAAGCTGATTGAACAGAGGCAACAGGAAATCTACCTGTGTCAGAATATCTGCAATTCACAAGAATGGGGTTTAAAGTATTATTACTTAATTTAAAAGCAAAGAAACATTTCAGAACTAGAAATTCTATGTAGTCATATAAATATTTAAAATCTTTTACCCAAAATATTCCCTAAAGAGTGATATTGGGTATTTTTTGTGGTATTAATCTGTCACCAACATCAACAGTATCCAAATTAAAAAGAAGGAATGTCGCTCACCTATAGAGTTGAGATACCCTATACTGAAATTTTACAAATTAAATGGTACTAACATAGCTTAAGACATTGACCAATGTGAGTCTGGAAGTTGTGCTCTGTCATCTTGGGCACACTGATGAGTCATGACCTGGTTAGAAAGGCGTTCAGCGTTCACGAAGTTGAACCATCAAGATTTAATCTGTGCATTCGGTCACTAATTTCTAACTAAACCTGGCCAGCTCTCAGCTCTAGAGTAAGAGCCATTATGTTTATTGAGAAACTATTTTTTAAAGTTCAGTGTTTAGCAAAGTTACTGTGTATCTGTTCAGTTTATATATTTGTATGTATGTGACACATACATACAGATGCTGCAATGACTACTTAGTGTAACTGGCAGTGGTTTTAGGGTTCAGCAGGAAAAATCACACTTGAAAGGCCCCACAGGTCATACTCCATAACGGGCTCACTCTGCAGAAGGGAACCAGTCAGGAAACAAGGTATACCGTGAGGACAAAAACCAGTGTGTCATCAGTAGATTCCCCCTCTTTAGTGACAGCTTGGGTATGAGAGAACAAGATCATGTAGGTGGGTACAGAAGCCAGTGGCTCAGTGGAGGACAATGACTCGGCTATTACACATAGTGCCTTGAGACAGCCGCACATGCTGTTTATGTCTTACAAATGCCCTGGAACCCTGAGCCAATGAGCAGCCTGTTGACCTCCTACTGACCACCGTGTCAACCCAGGAAACCGTCAGAAGACAGTTTATTGCCTCCCAGGTATTGATAAGTACAGACTTTTAGCAGGTTATGCCTAAACCCTGTAAAAATCATTTAGCTGCAGACTGTAAGTAGCTCCTTTACCACACAGCATCCTACAACTGGTGCTGTAGCCACCAGGCCTTTTTGTTTTAGTATCTTCATTTTTGGTGTGTGGGACAATGACCTTGGGAGCTGGCACTTTTGGAAACTTTTTTACTCTATAAGTAAAAATTATAAACTGTGTGAATCTAAAAGCAGATAATATCTTTACTGGTTAAATCAAAGGCTTGAAGCAGTGGACACGTCGTCTTCTGGAAGGAATTCTGACTATAACCACTTGAACGCGGTCATAAGACTCGAGGAAGGCCATGCACCTTCTGCCAACTTGATGGCAGTCTGTGACCCCCGAGTGCAGGACTCACGCAGGCAGTCCTCGATCCCCTGACCCAGAGAAAACTGTGAGATGATAAATGAGCAGTGCTTTCAGACGACGAGTTTATGATTTGTTATAGAATAGAAAGTTAATACACTGAGAATAGTACTCTCATCAATTTGTTGATACAGGTTAAGCATTCCTAATCTAAAAAATCTGAAATGCTCCAAAATATGAAATTTCTTAGTGCTGACATAGTATCACAAGTGGAATATTCCACACCTGACTTCCTGTGACAGGATGTAGTCAAAACGCAGTTACACTAAAAATATTATATAACATTACCTCACAATATATATATGAGAAACATACATTAATTTTGTGTTTAGATTTGGGTACTCTCCCCAAGATATCTCATTATGTAAATATCCACAAATCCCAAAAATCTAACATTCAAAAATACTTCTGATCCCATGCATTTCAGATACAGAATTCTCAACTTGTACCCTGGTTCTCTATCTTGAAACCCTTTCAGTTAGGATTAGATTAAAATAGATCCATTTCTTCACATCAACAGTGACTTGATTAAAATTAAAGGTAAAATGTCTGAGCACTAACTAAACACCCTGTTAGTACCGTCCAAGCTATCCTAAGGGCTACAGCAGGCACTGCTGCCCTTCCTTGGATTCTGAGTCTGGGTCATTTAGTTTCTCTTCTATAGTTTGTCATACTTCACAGGCTGGTCAGTTTTAGGGTCTCCCCTCAGATGATTTCCTGTGCTGTCCATGTCTTCTCGCTTCCTGTCATGCATGACCCATACTTTTGTAACATTAAACACATTCACTATGGCCCATTCACCCATCGTGGAGTAATATATACACCAAAAGTTTTAAACTGAAAATCCATTAGCCATAAAACTAAGGACAATATATATAGGATTAGGATAAAGGATACAAAAATTCAGGAAGTAGATAAAAGATGGAATGAACAAATTAAATGTATTCTATTTTATGATTCTGAAAATGGGAACCCAGCTGTAGATTAGAAACCAAAATATATATACTTTCAGGTTACGCTAAATGGATTTGAAGTAAGGTAAACACGAAAAACAAGCAACCTTGCATTTCCTGAGCTATAAAATTTAGAGGTAGCTCTATAAAAGTAAAAATATGTAGGATTTTATAATCTAAGAGTTATATTTAGTTTATATTGAGTTACTAATTTCTTCTGTAAAAGACAGCAGATATTTTAGATGTTGTAGGCCACAAGATCTTTGTCACAACTGTGTCACAGTTCTCTGTCACAACTACTTAACTACGCTATAATACCTCAAAAGCTGCTGTAGATATTATGGAAACAAATGGGGATGGTGGTTCTTCAAGAAAACTTTAAAGATAGACTGGCAGATTTGGTTCAGAGCTGTACTTTTCCAACCTTTGGTTTTACACAGAAACATGACAATCACAAGTATCTCAGGGACTTACTGCTTGATTTTATCATTTCTAGGTCCAAATCTTGGTCCAGATGGTCCCCTTCTGAAAATAAAATATCCATTCTATATTAGAAATGATGGCATCAGACAAAAAAAAAAAATTCATACATTCATAAATACAATCAAGCTGAATTCTAAACATGGGTCAGTGATTTACCATAAGGAACCACATGGAACTGAATGATTCATGACGTATCAGGTCTTGTTCTTTATTGGTATTTACTGTAAAAATTAACTTAATTTTTCTGAATGTTAAAAATTTGTAAGAAATTAGGACTTATACAATCCTTAGTAATATTTTTTTCTAATCATTAAGCCCTGAAATACCAAATAAAAATGCTGGTGAATATGAATATTTCTGTGATCAAGTCTAGAATTAAAAGTGCAATTCATGATACAGATATCTGAAAATTATTATTATTATTCCCATTGTAGGCTTTTTAAAACGGGAGCTACATTTGTTTCATCCATTAAGAAACAGAAGACTTTAAAGTAGTTACTGGGGAAAAGAAGTTTGTTTTTTTGAAAATTAAAATTGATGAACTTCAATCCAGACTGTTTGGGGAGCGGGGGAAAGACACAAATTACATCTAGGAACAAGGTGCAGATGCTACTACAGGAAATGTTCCACAGTGATGGAAGATGTACTAAGGGAGGCCAATTCTCTCTGCTCCCTGTGCAACTTTTCTAAAGTCTGTAATTATTTTAGAATCAAAAGTAAAAAATCCCACAAAGGAAAGTACAGGACTAAATGATTTCAGTGATTAACCTAACATTTAGTGAAGAAATAGTATCAATTCTACATAGACTCAGAAAAATGAAGACAGAACATTTCCCAAGTCATCATAGGAAACCAACATTGATCTACAAACATGGAAGACACAACAAGAAAAAACAGTAATTATCAACCAACTAATCTGCTCATGGACACAGATGCAAAAATTCTTCACAAAATCTTAACAAATTGATTCCACCATGGTTTAAGAGGGTAATACATGACAGCTGAAGTAAAGTTGATCCCAGGAATTTAAGACTGGCTTACAATTCCAGGATCAGTCAAGAGAATCCATGACATTATGGGGATACAAAAAAAAGAAGATAAAACTACACAATCATTCAACGGATGTAGATGACATTCTAACAAAATTCAACATCAATTAATGATAAAAACTTAGCAAAGCAGGACTAGAAAGGAGCTTCCTCAACCTAGTAAAAGGCACCTCACCACCACCACCCCTGCTGCAGTACAATCAAACTCTGTGGTGAAAGAAGAAATGCTTTACCCTACAGGAGATCAAAAACAAAACAAGGACATTCTTGCTCATCATTTCCATTCAAAACTGTACTGGAGCTTTTAGCCAGGGCAAAAAAGTCAAGATACAGAAATCAAAGGCATACAGATAAATAGAAAGAAGTAAAATTGTGTTTATTTGCAGACAACATAATTGTTTAAAAATCCAATGGGATTTACAAAAATACTACTAAAATTAGTAAGTGCATTTGGCAAGGTTACAAGAGACAAACAATAAATTACATGAACTAAAAAGTTTTAAAATGCCATTTTTAGGAGCACTAGAAAGTATGAAATACTTAAGGATAAATTTGGGGAAAAAAGGATTCGAGATCTGAACAATAAAAAACTATGAGACATTGCTAAGAGAAATTAAGGACTGTAATAAATACAAAGATAAATGATTTTCATGCATTAGAAAACTCATTATTAAGATACCAAGCCTCCACAAATTGTTCCATACATTTAATGTAATCTCAATCAAAATTCTAGCAGGACTTTTTTTGAAGAAAGAGAGAAGATGATTCTAACATCTGTATATTTAAAACTCAAGGCAGAAGAACCTTGAAATACAAACTTGGAGGACATACACTACTTTGCAAATTACTAAATACTCAAATTGTAGTACTGATTTAAGATAAGATATACAGGTCCCAAAAACGAACAGAGTCTAGAGATAGAGGCATACATATGGTCAATTAATTTTTACTGTGGTAAATATAAAGCAAAATTTCACATTCTAATCATTTTAAGTGTGAAGTTCTATGACATTAAGTACATTTACATGCTCTGCAACAATGGTTGCAGCATCCATCTAGAAAATTTTCATCTTTTCAAATTAGTTAAACATCAAACTCTCCATTCTCCCTTCCTCAGAGCCCTGGCAACCACGATTCCACTTTGTGTTTCTGTGAATCTGACTACTCTACTTTCTCTCTAAGTGAAATCCTGCCGTATTTCTCCCTTGTGACTATCACGCAACCTGATGTCTTCAACGTTCATTCCTATTGTTGCAAGTATTAGAACATCTTTTTAAAAGCTGAACAATATCCCTTTTATGTATACTCCACGTTGATGGCCATGGGTTGTTTTACCTTTTGAATACTGTGAATACAGCTACTGAATGTCAAGTAATTTTTAAAAATTATTTTCATTGTGTAGTTTCCTTTTCAATACACAGAACAAAGTGTGAAAGCTGCATTTTAAATATCATCATGCTAATTTGGTTGTCAGGCCCTTTAGAAAGCATAACATCACTTAGGAGTGGATCACTGCTGGTCAGAAACAATAGTTCTTACACAATCAAAGTTAAATTCAGGTAAACATTTATTTACCCAGATCTGGCCTTCTCAATACTGAGTTCCTTTCAGATGCCTTAGTCTAAGGCTTCATCTCACTGTACGTGGCCATGTAGGCAATTTGCTTTGGGATCCTATGGAAATCTTGTCACCTGTAAAAAAGTATCTCCCCATAGCATTTTGACATTCCTGTTAAAAATGATAGTATTTTCTGTCCTTTTATTATCCATTGCTTTGTAGGTTTCAATTAATTTTTATGAAATATTTTCATTTATGAAAAAACCCAGCCAATGTTTTAAAAAAACATTGTAATAACTGAATAAAGTAGGGTGTAAATATTTCCTCAGGTAAAGCTCTTTCTATAAACCCTCAGAGAAAACCACTGCAAGCTGTTGTGCTTCCTGACTTTACAGATACAAATCTACACCTGTAGACCAGCACTTACTAAACATAACTGCCAAGGATCAGTGGGGTCAGTCAAGTTTTGGCAAGGTATTAAAGTAATTCAATGAGGTTAAGGAAAATCTTTTAATCAGATAGTTATGGAATGAGTAGATGGCCATAGAAAAGTTTTTTTTATCCTTTTCTTAGCCATGTATAAAAAATTTAAGATGGGTTACAGGACTAAATTTAGAAGCCAAAACTATTAAAACTCCTAGAAAACAAAGCAAGTGAAAGTCTTTGTGACATTGAGTTTGGAAAACGTTGCTTCAATGACATTAAAAAGTTTACCCTGCTTTATGGCAGAGTATTATTCCAATGTATATAAATACTACATTTTCTTCATTCATCTGTTAACAGGCATACAGGCCATTTCCAAGACTTAGCTATATAATATATACATGGGTGCTGCTAATGCATGGGTATGCATGTATCATTGTAATATTATAATGACTTTTAACCCTTTTGGGAAAATACCTAGAAGGGGAATACCTGAGTGAATGGAATTTCTATTTTTAGTTTTTTAAAGAATTTCCATACTGATTTCCACAGAGGTTATGCTAGTTTGCATCATCACCAACAATGTAGAAAGGCTCCTTTTTCCCCCAAAGCCTTGCCAGCATTTGTTATTACTTGATTTCTTAATGATAATCATTTTCCTGAGTAAGATGGAATTTAGGGTGTGTTAGTTTGCACTTCTCCAATGGCCAGTGATGTGGAACATTGTTTTCCATGTATTTCCTGGCCATTTGTACTTCTGAGAAGTGTCAATTCATTTTGGGCACACATTTTTGGTTGAGTCTTTTATTTCAGGGAGTCTAATTTTCTGAGTTCTTAGGGTACTGTAGATGTTAGATGTTAGTTCTCTGTCTGAGGAATAGATGGCAAATTTTTTGCCATTCTGTAGGTTGTCTCTTCACTCTGTTAGTTGTTTCCTTTACTGTGCAGAAGCTTTCGTTGATTCTTGGTGCTATTTTTTGTGCCACTGGGGATCTTCAAGAGTTTTACTTAATCTTCCAGTAGATTGTTTTTGTTTAACATTTAGATCTTTGATGCATTTTTATTTTAGCTTAATACATGGTGAGATAAGACTATAACATTATGTGAACTCAGATACATGTAGGTATCAGTTTCTCTTGTGAGAAACCCAAAATATCAATAAACAGCACAATAAAAGATAACAGGAAGAAAGGAGATCTTTTTCAAATGGGAAGAGGAGTAAGAGGTAGAGGAAAGGGAGGGGAGGGAAAGGGGATGACAAAAAAAAGAGAAAGAAATGAAAAAAAAAAAAAAGGTAACAGCTTCTGCAAAAGAGAAGGGGACCAGGAGCTGAAAGGTGTAGGGAGGGAAGGGAGAGACAGGGGTCAAAAAAAGAATGAAGATGTTTTATGTACATGCACAAACTCCCCACAATAAATGTGATCACAATAAATGTGATCACTGCAAACATGTACTAATAAAAAAAATGTTAAGAACTTTTATAAATTGATTTAAGATCAAAGCATTAAACTTAACACCACCATAAACTGAGTAAGTGGAGTTGCAAATTTGGACTGATTATTTGCAAAGCACATAGCTGACAAAACACTTGTATCTTGAATACATAAAATTCTTATACTTAATGAGAAGACTAGTTTAAAAAGAGGCAAAGGCTGGGGTGTAGCTGAGTGGTATAGCCCTTGCCTATCAGTATGTTCAAGGCCCTGAGATTAATCCCTGGCATGGAAAAGATAAAACAAAATGAAACAGCAAATGCAAAAGATTTGGACACATATTTAGCCAAAGCAAGTATGAGGATGGAAAATGAGCACACTAAAAGATGGTCAACGTCATTTCTCATTAGGGACATGCTCATTAATGTCACAGTGAGATACCATTGCCCACCCACTAGAATGACTAAAATGAAAAAAAATTAACCAAATGCAATGTTGTAAGAACTTGGAGTAATTAAAACTTTCAAGCAATACTGATGAGAATATAAAATAGTACTACTACTTTGGAAAGCAGTTGTACCCTAGCCTTTTCATTTTGTGACTATTAAACTGGACTGTCAATTTGATTGGCTTGAAACTTGCCCAGGGGACTAGTAAACCAAACTTCTGTGTGGATCACGGAGGTGTGATCGTGGTACTTTATCTGGTCTTTGGGCCCTTTCTCTCAGGTATTGTTTCTCCTCCTCTGCTTTCGGGCTGCTATGGACTGAGCTGCTTTGCTCTAACTTACTGCCATGCTTTTTTTGCCAGCTGATTGTGCAGGAACCCTCTGAAACCATGAGCCTATAAAGCTTCTCCGCACATAAGTTGTGTGTATCATGTACATAGTCTCATGGACAGAAAACTGATTAATTTACCCAGAGAAATACAAGATATGTCCACACAAAAACTTATATGCCAGTGATGGTAAACTTTTTAGAGCTTACTGCCCAAACCAGAACCCACTTATTTATTGCAAAATGTCAACATTGCAATTAAACCTTTTAGCCTAGAAAAAAACTCACATTAACATCTTTTGTTTTAAAATAACAACACAGGGCCAGGGATTTAGCTCAGTGGCATAAGCACCTGCCTGGCAAATGCAAGGTCATGAGTTTGAACCCTGGTACCACAAAAAATAAAATAAAATAAAATAAAATAAAATAAAATAACAACACAACAAGTTTGCCACATGTTTACCAAAGGTTCGGCACCACTATTATATGCAAACATTCATCGCAGTTTTATTTGGAATCGCCCCAAATTAGAACCAACCCAAATACTCACATAGTAGTAAATAAATTGTAGTATACTCACAGGATGGAATACTACTCAGGAAAAAAAACTATTAATACATGACTGAATCTCAAAACAATAATGCTCAGTAAGTGATGCCAGTAAAAAATGGGGAGAGTTAGCTTATGATTTCAATATAAAAATTCTAGAAAATATAAATTATGATAGAAAATAGATCAGTGGTTTCCTAAGACTGGCAGAGCAAAAGATCACCATAATGGCTATGGTATTTTATTTTGATTACGATTTCAAAGGCTTAGAGTATGTATTTCAAAACTCACTGTATACTTTAACTATATACAAACACTTCAGTTCATAAACTCACTTCTTTCTATGATTCTAGTTGCAAACCGAGATGGACGAGAACTGAGTCACATTTCCCCAGTAGGTCAACAGTGAACCTAACCACTGAATTTGATGTGGTTCTCATTCAACTAGCTTTGTGACCAGAATCGGGGTCAGAATCAAGGTCGTGAGCTGAGACGTGACAGTACACATTTTATATGTTGATTATACCCTGATAAAGCTGTGAAAAAGGAAAAAAACTTACAGGAAAAAGTCCTCTTCTTCATCTGAATCATCTTCCAAAAGATTTCTCTGTCAAAAAAGAAAGGAAAAGATTTAGTTTTCAGATGCAGAACTCTTACAACAATATCAGAGAAGTAATGAAACAAGTTTTCTACACTAGTGAAATTTAACTCCAAGCTTCTAGGCAGAGAGAATAATTACGTACACAACACCAGAAACTAAAAGGCATGGAACAAATTTGCCTACCTTCCCAAGAAATGCTTATAATTCCAGAATTCTCCAGCTGACACTGCAGGGGGTCAGGGAGGTGCAACTCCCCTCTTCCTCCTGCGTTCCAGCCTCTGTCTACTAGCTGAACTTAAAAGGAAGCCAAGTGAAAGCAAAAACAGTTTCTAGAGCTCAAACAAACAAGAACAGAGGAATCAGCTCTGGAGCTGACAGACGTAGTTCATCTACTTAGTCGATAAACAGCCCTCTCCACAAATTTGAACTTCAAAGCAAAAGCAACTTAATATTTTTACCTTCTAAAATAGAACAATCTTCCTTAAAATGAATCTGGCCTTATTATGAACCCAAGAGGGAAAGATAAAAATTTCCAAAGATGACTAAAGAAGAGCAAAACAAGAACCTTTCAGACTTAAAAGAACTTCAACAGCTTTCACTTGCAGGTAGAATATTGGCTTTCCATGTCCTGATCACCAAAGCTGTGAAAGAGTTAAGTGGCATGTCTGTAAGAGGAAGATCATGGTGGATTATTCATGTGGGCCCACGCTAACAAGAGGGGAGACGGGGAAGGGAAGGGAAAGGGGAGGAGTGGAGAGACACAAAACAGGCGGGGAGCCACCGAAAGCTTGGAAAGGCAAGAAAACAATTTTTCTCCTAGACCTTCTAGAAGGAAAATAGTCCTTCTGGCACCCTGATTTTAGCCCTGTAAGTCCCATTCTGGACTTGTGATCACCAGAGGTACAAGATAATAACTTTGTGGTGTTTTACATTTTTGTAATATTTTTAATAGAATACAAAATGAATACTTCACCCATGTACTTTTTTGAGGAAATTATTGAAGGAATGACACGAGCCAAAATAAAATAAAGATCTTTAGAGTTGAATACAATCAAAGAATCTAATAAAATGTGTGGCCAAATTTAAGTGGTTGATGATGACTGTACTGTATGTAAGATGAAGCTATTGAAAAAGAGACAGCATCTACCACAGTGATATATGTGCACCCATGTTTATAGCAGCACAATTTGTAATAGTCAGATCTTGGAAACAACCTAAGTGTCCATCAACTGAGGAATGCATAAAAAAGTTGTGGTATTTTTATACAATGGAGTACTACTCAGCTATAAAGAAGGATCACACTGAGCTATTTATAAATAAATGGATGCAACTTGAGACCATACTCATCAGTGAAATAAATCAAACTGACATGTATAAATACTGAATAGTTTCCCTAGTGTAAGAAATGATAAGAATACATAAAAGTATGTGGTAATCATGATTCCCAATCATATTGGTTTGAAGCCATATAATGTTTTCACTCATTAATTGGAATGGTTTTAACCTGGGTTGTTCGATTTTAGTATCTGTGATAGTACGAATAGCTATTTTCAAGAAAACAAGACATCATAAAAGCTAGTGCTGATTTAATATCATCTTGTTTTGACGTCCCATCAAGCTGTTGTACATCTATTTCCACTGGTTTTAACATGTTTTATCTTACTATATTTGACTATATGCAATAGTATAAACAAAATTTTTTATAGGCAAAGGGATAATATACAAACCGTTGTTCGTTTTCTGTTACCTGGTTCTAAATATCCTGTAATTCTTTCATTCTCTTGAATGGCTTCACACTGTCTTGATATGCTTGATGCTATAGTATACGAAGTTATACTCAAATAATTCAAGGAAAGAGGCACTATGGTGACTGCTATTATGTTAGGATATCTGGTGGTGAAACACAATGATGCTTAAATTGTTCAGTTCTGACCTGTGTTGTTCTGTTACAATGTCCTCTTTTATCTCAATCTCCCCCTTTTTTAAAAAAAAATTAATCTATTTTTTCTTATTTTTTTTAATTAAGGGAAAAGTAAATTTAAAAATATGGGATATATTATAGTAACTTTTTTGTTTTCCTATTAACCTGATTTGAACCCCAGTATTGCTCTCCCCATCTTGTTCTGTCTGATTTTGCTATATTCTGTTTGGTTTGATAGTATCAAGTTTGAGGGTATAGGCAACCACTTTGAAGGCAATACGATTTACTATGATACCCATTATGGTTTGACTATTATCTTCTTTTGAAGTCCTGTAAGGTCTCCAGTGTCTTGGTGGTCTTATTGGTCTTGTTCTGTACTGGTCAATTCTATTATACCTGATGATATAGGCAACTCTTTTTAAAATAGCAAGAGGCACAATGAGGCAACCATTTTTGATCACCTGGTATTCTATTTTTGCATCATGTACTATGCCCATCCTTCTGTTCTAACCGACTCTGTTTTGGTTAGTTACATTTGGTTTTCCTATTCAAAAAAAAGTAATAAGAACTGTGTGAGTAGTAAAACCCCAAAAGTGTAATTGTTATTGTAAAAAAGAGAGGATAAGAAAGTGATCTAAAGGATGTAACTGCATGTATATTTAAGTGTGTAGGATAGAAAACCATATTACTGAGCTTTTGTTGGATCACTGAACAGAACTGTCAGCAATCTCACTGTATGAATGTCTACTTTATATGCTTCAATTTTATAATTTGGACAACTGTTTCTAAGATGACAATATGTAACCTATTAACTAGCGACTTCTTACTGTATATTTTTTTCTTGAAATTCTTTATTACTTGTACCCTTTTACTGCTTTGTTTTTTTTATTTCCTTTCTTTTTTCTCTTTAAAAAAAAAGAAAAAGAGACAGCATAATAAAGGGAAGTTTTTTTATGAGAAATGTTGAATTTTATTAAATATATCTTAATCTGTTGGGGTTATCACTTTTTTTATAAAGGATTTTATTTAGAGAGAAAAAAAGCAAAACAGAGAAAAGGGTAGAATACAGAATTGCTGGGGATTTAGCTCAGCGGCATAAGCGCCTGCCTTGCAAGCAGGCAGTCGTGAGTATGATCCCTGGTACCGATAATAAGGAAAAAGACAAAAAAAAAAAAAAACCAAAACAAAAAAAAACAGTAAGAAATCACTAGTTGATAGATTACATATTGTCATCTTAGAAATCGCTGTTCAAGTTACAAAATTAAAGCATGTAAAGTGGACATTCAAACAGTGAGACTGCAAACAGTTCTGTTCAATGATCCAACAAAAACAGTAATATGGTCATCCGTTTTACATTCGTAAACATACATGAGGTTATAGCCTTTAAAGCACTTTCTTTTCCTCTTTTTTATAATAACAATTACACATTTTAGGTTTTATTACTCCTACAGTTCTTATTATTTTGTTTGAAGAGAATAAAACCAAATGTGACAAAGCAAAATGGAGTCAGTTAAAACAAGAATAGACATAGTATATGATGTAAAAACAAAATACAAGGTGGTCAACAATGGCTACTATAATGCCTTTTGCTATCTTCAAAAGAATTGCCCACATCTTAAAGAGGGTAAGTAAGATTAAACATACCAAAACAGAACACAACAGATCATAAGGAAACAATGTTAAGAAACACTGATTTCAAAGCAAGTTCACTGGAGATCTTCACTGTCTGTCTTACTGTCTCTAGTTTTCTTCCAAATAGTTGTCCCCATCTTCACACACTGTGAATACATACTGAGCATTGTACAACTAATCTGATCATAACAGGATGATGAAGACTTTTTAGGTCTTCAAGACCTGACATTGGGGAAGTCAATAATGACGCCATAATGTCTCTCATTCTCTTCATAGTAGCTGTCCTTATCTTTATGTATGCTGAAATTGAACATAAGAGACTAGACTAATATCACTCTAAACAGTGAATAATAGTTTTGCTAGATTTTATATCACAATGTTACAGAATTAGCACTGGGTTTCTAGTGTCTTTTCTTCTTCAGAGTATCTGTTTGTTACATCGCCCATTATATAATCTGTTCCTATAAACTGCTTAGAAATTCTCCCCATGTGTGAGTCTCTGCATGTATATCTATCCTTTCTGTATTATAGGGAAAAATAGATCATAACAAGACAAAAAAACAAACTCTTAGAAAAACATGAAATACAAAAGACATATAAAACTGCATTATTAGGTGATCTACAGTAGTTACTATGCTTTCTCTTGTTATTTTCAATAGAGTTGTCCACATCATCAGACATATAATAACTGAACATAGCATTATATAGCTATTTTAATAAAAACACAACTTTGGAGACATTGTAGGACTTCAAAAGCAGTTAATAATCAACCCGTAATGGGTATATTATTACATCTTGTCATCTTCAGAGTGGTAGCCTCTACTCTTAGACTTGATATTATCAAGCATACCAAATTTGAATAAAATCAGTCAAGGCAAAAGAGCAGTTTAACAATCCAGCTGCAAATAAAATCAGTCATAGTAAAACAGTGTAAGTCATAGAGGGCTTCAGTTTAAGTTAATAGGAAATTAAGGATAGTTACCGTGGTATAGCTTGCTATTCTGAGGATAGCTATCTGTGCTCTCAAATCTAGTATGAGTTGACTGACCTGAACAAAATAAAATCAAACTAAGCGAGCAATAAGATTACTGTGGCTTTTAAATCCTGATTGATACACTGTTAACAATGTCCTTTGCCTGCCTTTTTAAGGCAATTCCTCACCTTTCCCTTTCTCAGGATGCTTTGTATATTTTGGGTCCCACTAACTCCTTTAGTTTTTAGATTAAGGGGGCAACCCATTATCTATCTGAGTGATGCTGAACCTTTTTACCCGAGCTTGATCTTGAGCTTACTCTTTTACTTACTAAAGCCACAAGGTTTTCCTTCCTTCTAGCTGTAGTTCTACACTGCACAAAAGTGTCATAACTTTCCAACCTATCTGCGGCTGCTGGATGAGCTGTCTTTCTCTCTGGTTCCCTGTCACTTAGAGCTTTGTTTTCTCATCTTTGACTTT